TTATTTACAATATCGAGACCCTCTGCGCGATACCGCGAGACTAATTAGTTCGAATTCTTTCGACTCAAGGTCCTCCACTTAATTCCTCTCTCGGTGGTCGATAAAATTTATGTCTTGACCCCGGCGACACCGTGCGCCATTTTGGAATTTCCGACCGTACAGAATAACATTCGGTGTGCCTAATAAAATTCTTCGAGCGATTTCTCAATCGCCGCAAATTCCTTTCCTATGTTAACGGGATCCTTTTCGCAAACCGCGACCGGTGAAATATGCAACAACAAATCCGGAACGACTTGTATTGCTTGTCAAACGTCGTGCACGATCAAATTGACATTGGAAAAAAATATTTCCCCAGCACGACACGTATCTAGTCGGTTAAATTTGCATCTACTATTCGCGATACATACCTTTATCTCGTTTCCCATGGAGAACACAACGATATCGCCGGATGAATTCATGCTTCTGGAATTTGAATCGCGCTTGAAAAGGAATTGACGTCGAGGAAAAAGAATATTCGTTCGCCGTTTACGGCCAGACACAATTATGATAGTATGACTCAAACACGAGGTGAATATAACTGGAAAAGCTTTTAATCCTGTTCCAAATGTAATGCCTGGAGAATTCTCGACAAAAGTTCTATTCGAATATTCACTTCGCGGCCAAGTTCTCGCCGCTAGATATTCCAGATAGCGTAGTTCTTTTTTTACAATTAAATACTTGTAGTATCATTTCTCCCTTTCCGTGTTCTATTTCACCGGCGAAACGGGGTTGTCCAGATAATCAAAGCGTTGCCTCCGGTATAGTGTAGCGTGCGATACCTTCGAGACAATTAACTTCCTTATTTTATTACCAAGGGAGTTCCCCTCCAAGCGAACTCGATATTTCTTCGTTATACTTCCAGTTTTTGGCACGGCGCGTTCCAACCTTCCACTATAAAAATGTGGAGCCTTCCTCTCTGACTCAATTAATTCAACTTTCAAACTTGGCATTCACATTCTGACGATTTAATCATTTCTTGAGAGATCGTAAATGATATTTTCATCTATTAAAATACACAAAATTAAGAGGTATACGAAAAAAATAAAGGTAAATAAAAATAGCGAATTAGCAATTAGACTTTAATCATCAAATTCTTTTACGAGACAGGATTTTTCTTAGATTAAAATTCGTTTGGCCGATAGTATTAGCATTATTAAAGCTTGCAAAATGGATGGTGGGTATGAGAATATTTAAACAGAAGCTCGAACACTAGCACAGCGAAGTTTAACATACCCAAGTAATAAAAATAGTAAATTAACGATCACAAAGCTACACAGTAGATTCTCCCGAATTTTCCTTCAGCTTGTAAACAAAAATGGAGAATCCGGGAAGAAGAGATACGATTATTCGAGCCTCACGGCTCATTTTTACAGTTGCCGATTATCAACAATTATAAAAACGAGGCGCAAGGCTCGAATAATCGTATCTCCTCTTCCCAAATTGTCCTTTTTTGTTTACAAGCNCGATAGTATTAGCATTATTAAAGCTTGCAAAATGGATGGTGGGTATGAGAATATTTAAACAGAAGCTCGAACACTAGCACAGCGAAGTTTAACATACCCAAGTAATAAAAATAGTAAATTAACGATCACAAAGCTACACAGTAGATTCTCCCGAATTTTCCTTCAGCTTGTAAACAAAAATGGAGAATCCGGGAAGAAGAGATACGATTATTCGAGCCTCACGGCTCATTTTTACAGTTGCCGATTATCAACAATTATAAAAACGAGGCGCAAGGTTCGAATAATCGTTAAAAAATCGTTAAAGGCTCTTCCCAAATTGTTTACAAGCTGATGGAAAATTAGGGAGAATTTTCTGCAGATCTTCGTCTGCTGTATTTTTCTTAATCTCGCCCGATTTTTATCAATTGCAATTGTTCAAGCAGAAGTGCATAAACAGTTGTATAAATTGCACGTGATCCAAGATCTCCAAGATCTCACACAGATCTCTCGATCCTGACCGAGTTGAATTGTCAAAAAATAAATGCCCGCGAGCAGCGCCAAATGCGATCGCAGCTGGCGATTAAACGCATCCGAGCAGGCGCAAGATCCCCATCGAATTCCAATGGAATCTCCGATCCAAATTGAAATATTTCCGGAATGCCCATCCGAGTGAAGTAATCGAGTCGTTCGCGGGCAAAAGATAAGCAACGGCGAGCAGCGTTTGCGGCCCGGCTTGATTTATGGCCGCCCCCGTACGATATTCTCGTAAAACCCCGTGTATCTATCGTTACACTGGTTTCGTGTGCATAATCTTATCAGTCGCGTTTACGACTGTCACATAGGCGTAAATAGAAGCTAAACAACTCCCCTTCGAAAACAACTATAAACACTGATAAATGCGTAGATCCGGTTTATCTCGAATCCAAACATTCGAAAACTTTCCCCGCTATCCTCTACAACCAAGCTTTCGCTACCTGAAGCTTGCGCGCTTCCCGTTTCCGCATCTTCTCGCTACCGTTCCCTGTTTGTCCCCGTTATCGTTGCGGTGTGCTTGCGATCTATTCGCAAATACCACCGATAAGGTCTAAGCAAATTTTCTTTGGGCAAATAGTTGGGGGAACCAGCGATAATTATAACAAATATCCATGCTGTCCCTGCAACTCGAGCGTTACGACTAGCCTTGAGTATTTGTTATGCAAAATAAAATTTGTCTGCGTTAATTGCAATATATTAGAGTTGCATAGACATTTATTTCTGTTCTCAATCATTTGACTGGGTTGAAAGTGATACAACAGTATTTTGAAGTTCTTTAACACTAGATTTAAGAAGCATAAAAAATAGCTGTTTTATATTAGTTTATAAAACTAACAGTAAGACATTTATTCTGATTTTTAGCAAGTGTTATTGTAACATTTGCCGTAAGTAACGTATAAATTGAATAAATAACTCGTAAATGTATCTTTACAATATGAATAATCGTGAATTAACAAATTAGTGACCCCCGTCATTTTGACGGGTTCCGTAAATCTAGCGTAAAATGTATTTAACCGTTTTCTTTTTCGAACAATCATGGCAAGATTGATGAAATCGAAAGAATTCTTCCTAATCAGGCGTCCGAGTGAAATTATAAACAGACGATGTCCATAATCGCTATCCATAATCTCCAAGACCATTTATTTCTGGATTAGAATTGTAACGAAGCCGTTCGATCCCCGCAAATAATCGCGAACACTCTAAATTCGCAATCGTTCGTAATCTCCGATCGATTCCATAGTTAGATAGAACTAGATATCGAATCAACGTCCGACTTCTCGCAAACCGTCCTCCTATGTTTCGATGAACTCCGATAATCGTTTTTTATCGGCGCGACGGTTACCGGCGCGCCAACTCGAACCATTGACTAATTTCGGGTTCGGAGTTCCATTTTCTGTTGAAATACTTTCTCAAGTGTGCCTATTTTTGCCGTCGCGATTTTATCGGACACGAGACAAGATGGCGAGGCGAGACGTTCTCGGCGGCGCGCGCGCGATTCCCGATCCGCAGGAAAACACGCGAGGAATTCGTGGACCGGAATTACGTGTCACGTTTTATTAATCTTGTTAACGAGTGCGCGTTTCGAGAGCGACCGGGTCGTCGGACCAACGGGTTCGTCGCGTTTCAATTGTCCGTCAATCTTAATTGAATTCACCACCCAAGTGAAAACCGCTGAACTTCGATTGGGGCCCCGTGGCTCGTGGAGATCAAGCAAAGTGTCCTCAACGAGAGACAATTGGATCGTATCGCGACTTAAACGCGGCGAATTGCCATTCCGAGAATTGCTGGCCGGCGCCCGTCGACTTCAGAAGTTTGTGGAAAACGAGGTACGTCACCTTGCTCCTTCTCTCGAAAATGAAGACTCGAGAAACTTGACGATCGGTAGAAACGTATTCAAAGAAATTCGAAGACGTTTGGATCGATGATAGCTTTTTCAGTAGAAAGTACTCTGTAGAAGGAGGAGATTGGGATGACTAATTTTCTATATTAAAGAATAACCTAATCTTTGTAGTTATAAAATGTTGCTACGGACATTTGGAACTTGTTTACGTGGACATGATTCTGGTTTCCAATTCCTATTTTATCTTGGTCGAAGTAAAACAAGTAAAACAAGGTTTTCTTCAAGGCATTTTTCTCTCCAGCTATCTTAAAAGACAGTTGTATCTATATCCTTAATTTCTACTCATCGTTAATCCTGGTAAAATGCTAAGAATTCTAAGAATAAGAAGTAAAATTCTAAGAATTCGTTCTAGACACAACTTCTGGACTGTCTAATACAAACATGTCTAGCCAAAGCAACACAAAACCAGCTAAAATCTATCGTTGATCCTCTCTGAATACATTCCACGAATTCGTCCTAAACACAATTTCTAGACCGACTAATTAAGTCGTCTCTAACTAAACAAAACACAAAAGAAGAAGACTTCATCTCAAACGCAATTTCTATCCAGCATTAATCTATCGACAATCCTCTTTGACTACATTCCAAGAACTCGTCTTAGACACAATTTCTAGACTCCTATTAAATGATCTCCGACCAAAAAGACACAAGACAGGAAGACCTCAAACACGATCTCTAGCCTAAGTAAAAGACTCCTGCTTCAAGGATCCCGAAGCTGAACCGTTCCGTTTCTAGACACACTTCGCAGCCCGCCTAGGAGATTCACCATCGAGGCGACACAAAACGGGACCTATCCGGATAGTTTGTTATCGGCGAGAAAGGAACGTCCGTCGCAGGATCGAGATGAACTCGTCACCGGTTCCGTCGCGATCGGTTCACACGCGCGGGATCCGGGGCGTCCGATCGATCATTAATTCCCGAGAAGATAGGGATCGGCCGGGAGAACGTCCGCGTCTATGCCGTCTGGACTAGGCTGGACGATAAACAGAAGTTAACGAGCGGCTACCGGATCGCCCCCACGGCATGCTAATTTCACGGCAGTTGGCCCGGGAGCATCGAATACATCACGCAGAGGATCTACATACCGACGGGCTTGGGCACGTTCCTCTTGACCTGCATCCACTTGTAGGTGGGTACGTGGGGTTGTTGTTGTTGCTGCTGTTGAGGATGGTGGCCGTGAGGGTGTTGCTGATGGTGGTGTCCGTGGCCGTGCTGGTGCGGGTGCTGCGGATGTCCCTGTTGCTGCAGCACGTGATAATTAGCCGGGTCGGGAGTCTCTTCTTTGTAATGCCCGGCAGGATGACCAGCGGTGTAATCGTTCTGCCGTATCTGCGTATGATAGTGTATGGAGTCTTCCGCGGGAGGCAGTTGGTGGAGATAGTTCGTGGTGCCGGCGATCTGATAGTCGGGCTCGGAATGGTGATGGTGGTGGTGGTGGTGATGACTAGAAGACTGATGGTGCAGCTCGTGCTCGTTCCTCGAGTGGCCGGCCACCATGGGGCTTTGGTGGATGCTGGTGGCCGAGGTCGCGTGGTGATGGTGATGGTGGTGCTCGTCTCTATAGCCGGTGGCCTGCTGGACATGGTAGCTCTGCTCGTGGGAGCCGTTCTGCGGCTGGCCAGGGTAGGCGGTCGAGGAGGACGCGTAGTCCAGGTTCGTGTAGCTCAGCCCGTTCTCGGAGGAGATGATGGCGGTCGTGGTTCCATCCTCGTGCAGCACTCCCGTCGACGAGTAGAAACCCTGCGGAGGTGTCCCAGACTCCGCGGCGAGGAAACTCTCGGAGGACGAGGAGGAGTACGGGGACACCGCGGTCTGGGGGAAGTAATGAGCGGGCGCCAGCTCCGGCGAGGGCGGCACGGGCACGTGTCCGCCGACGGACACGGGCTGGTGATGATGATGACTCCCTTGGCCCGTGCACACGTAGTTCGGGTATGAGTCAGGCTTGCCGTAGGTTCCGTACATGCCCATGTCCATCATCATCATCCTCGTCGCGGTCAGACGGATGCATCAAATTGGCCTCAGTTCGTGTCCTTCGCCACGTTACCAGACGATCGAACAACAGAAGATTCCTTGCAGAAGATCGTCGGTGAACATCGCCGAGTCACTTAGCCGAGATCGAGTCCAGTAGCAACACAGATATCACAGACGCACACTCCTGCCGATATATCCAATCGAGCTGTCTATTATAAATTGAGCAAAGTTCAAGAGGTGTGTAGTCACTTTCGCGCAGAGATAACCGTGTCTCATGGATCGGCGGGCATGGTGATGAGCGTTATCAAACGGAGCACGTTATCAATGGGGCTGGGAGAGTTCCGTGTAGCTGCCAGGTGGGTGTCGTTCCGCGGACGCAGGCGCCAGTTATCCCGAGGCACCTGAGCGTCGCGGCAGTGGTCGCGGGAGCGGAGCGTTTTACTCGCGAGGAGGATGATAGAGAGACCGTGATCGCGTCGATCCGATCGACGAGGGTCGCTGAAGTGGACTGGCTAGGTGTACTCGCTGCCAGAAGGCGGCACGGTCGACAGCCTGCACGCAGGTGAGAGAGCCGCAGGGGTCTGCCGTGCGTCCAGCTCTCGCGTCCTCCTCGCTCCCACGGCCCGTTCTCGTCTGCTCCTCGTCGGACATTCGGCGCAGCGGCAGAAGCGTTGCCCCGCGTACGCCTAACCGGAGGAGGCGCTGCCTTCCGTCGAGATGGGCGGCCGCTATCGGTCGTTCACGTGACCGCCGGTGGGCGGTGCCAGCCAATGGGGGACGAGCCTGCGCGTCCGGCGTCCGTAGCCTCATGATGGATCACCGAGGCGAAATTTTATTTTTCGTTCCTTCTTTTTATCTGGCACGCTGCAGTTGACACTTATCGTAGCGGGTAGGTAGTCGAGTATTATATCTCCGTACCCACCTTCCAGGATCACCGTCCCTCCGCCGCGGAACCAGCTACCCGGCTCTCATGCCTCTGCTCCCCCCTCCCTCCCCTTCTTGCCACCCTCTGCCTTCCTGCCTACCTTCCTGCCAGCCACCGAGGCTCTTTCCTACGAGTCCTTTTTCCCCGAGGCGACCAGTCGCCTCTCTGTGTACACGCGTGTCCCACCTGTCTACGGGCACCGACGCGTCGTCCTGCACTTTCATTAAGCCCTGACTGCTGATGGGTTAATTACGGGACGCGAGATCGCCGAGAAAGTTGGTCGCGTGGTCCCCGTCCCGCTGACAAGCCTACCTTCCTACCCGACAACCTATCCTACTGTAGGAATTACCCGCGTGATTTGTAAGCTCGAGAGCGAGGATAGACGCCGCGGGGGATACCACGCTCCTGGTTTGCCACCCGAGGGTTGATTCAGCTCAACCCTGGCCAGATTTCGGCGTTTCTTTCGCGAGAAATAAACATCTTCTGCGCCGGTTGCAGCGAACGGGAGCCACACAGATCCCCTTGTTGGAACAAGCGCAAGTTGGGAACACGCGGGAGGAACGACGAGAGTTGCTTTCATTTTCATGGAACCGTGTCTCCGACGCGTCTTCTCGAGATGCTGATTCCCGCAGGAAATCTCGTACAACCTTCCCCGTATCCTTGAAACCGCGATACCTGACGAACCACGACGGAACCAGTGCAGTATAAAACAACGCCGACCACCTCAGATTATACAGAAGTTGCACCGTTGCGTCGATGCATTGGTCGGGGTTATTACGTAAGGGCGGCGCGTGCAAAGGCGGTCGTTTGTCCGGATCCCATGGATCGCACGGGGAAGAGCGCCGGCGGAGAGCTCGAAGGACGCGTGACGGGCCCATGGGACGTCTGGTACCCCATGTGGGTTCAGTGACAGGATGACACATTCCGCCGTGAAAGTTTTAGGAGAGCGGTCCCGTATCAGCGGTTCAGTCAGATGAGCTTATACCGAGGGCGCCACCTGCGGCCACCCGCGACATCCGTTCGCCGTCCATTCTCCCGGCCCCATCAAGATCAGGAAATCTTCATCTTGATCGAACTTCCCTGACGTCTCATAGTTCTGATTCTCACTGTCGGCCGATCTTTTTCACCTGAACGCGCCCGTACATACTCCCATGCCACGGCCGGCCTACATCCGTCCCTTTCGCTCCTTCGATTCGTCGGTGTTCGTTATGGCCGCGTGTGTCTCCTCCTGCCTTCTGCCCGATAAAGTTGCTAATTGGCACCGGGCCAATCGGTGGTACCCCGGACGCAAGCCTTTCCGCGGCTTGCTCCACTTTTGCGCGAGGCGTTTCCACGCTGTCGCAACCCGGCACGAATCGTTGAAATGCTGCTTAATTGTCACCCGAACCGTTTGCTGCTACCTGCGCAACTTTCTACCGAGTGGCTCACCGCAAAACCTGGCACCGGTGAAGCGATTCTGGATCGGCGCATGGTAAATCTCGCGTCGCGGCCAAACGATTGACCGTCGACTGAATGTTCCCAGCGTTCGTTGCTCGTTTCTTTTTTTTTTGCCGCAAACTGGTTCACCGGGATATGCTTCTGCAACATTTCTACCGTCGCCAACGGATCTCAATATCGGTTCAATAAACATACGAATGTTTCAGAAAAAGGGCATTGAATACGAATGCGCATCAACCGAGGCGAAATTGAATATTTATGATCAATGTTGCTGCCATAAAACCGGCAATAAAATTTGTCACGACTGTACGAATGTGTTGTAACGTCGCTGCAGTAAAAAGCCGCGTTAGAGGATAAACACTCTTGCCCAACGATGCCTAAGCTTTTCCGCTCCGGTTAACTTCTCGGCTTCGGTCCGCCAAAATTGCGGTGTAGCTTCGACGCGATAACCCTTTGCCGTATCATTTTTAATAATTTCTTAGGAGAAGATGAACATTTGTTTTCATTGTGTGCCCTCATTTCCTTGGATATTTAAATATTATGGAGGAAAGAACGGAATTTTTGCCGAACTTCGAAGAACAGAATAATCGTTCATATATATATATATACTTAACTCGTTAAAATACGGCAAGGGGTTGAAGTTCAACAAAAAACCATAGTCTATTTATTGAAATCACGAAAAGGTGAGTTTTGCTTAAAAATTACTGATCTACATAAACTTTTATTGGTCTGCTTTGGTTCCAGATATTCTCCAGACATTCAGCAAGAACCGTCTCACCGCCGATCGAGAGTGTGCCTGTGGGATCGATCCCGACTTCCTCGGAGATCTATACCCTCTGCTGGATCTCCCGGGCCGAGATTACGGGGTTTAGGAGCCGGTCACACGGTTGTTGCCCGATGAGCCGTGTGATTTCTCGTCCAAACAGTCCGAGTACGTTTTAATGGAATTTTCCGGGATCAGAGGAGTAAATTCGAGTTTAGCCGAGTCTAATGTCGGGATAAATATCAGCGATCCTCTCTGCCGCGTCCTTTGCCCCCCTCGGGGCCCTTCTCTGCTTGCGTTGGACACGCGTAAAGTTCGCCCCGTGGGCTAATCCTCTTAAACAATTACAAACCAGTCGATCGGTCTGGTACCTATCTCGTCGTGGCGCCACGCTGGGTTTTGACGTGGGATGAGGCACCTGCATTGTCATGCTAAGCCCCAGTCGCCTTGCTGCAGTTCCCTTTTATCTGCGACCAACAACATCCCGTCAACTTACTCCCGAACTGTCCCGTCCTCCTTCGTGAACTTCTTCCTTCGATTTTTCTTGCCTCGGGGCCGCGCTTCTTTATTTCCCCGTGCGACCTGCTCCGGCGAACCACCGAATTTCTGATCAGTTGCGTCGAACCCGCACGGCAGAGACTCGTCGCTGCGCTCTTGGAAAAATGGCTGAAGCGTGCCCGTTGAAAATCGAGCCAGTTTCTGAAGTAGCACTCGATTCCAATTTCTGACTAATTGTAAACATTTATTTTTATTTCAATGCATTTGAAAAAACCGAATTTTGGGAGGACATTTAGGATGTAAACGGGTCGAAGTATTTTTCGCTGTAATAAATTTTAACTTTCTTCTAATATGTATCATTTTTAGTCAGGAACGAGGAAGTAAATAAATAATGGAACTATGAAATATATGGAAATAATGGAACAAAATTATGTATCCTTGCATTGTAGATGTACAATATATTCTCCCTAAGTTTCCTTCGGATTTTAAACTACCGAGCTCTAAACGTGACTAATGTATATTGTTTTATAACAATGACAAGATTTGATTTATTACGTTTCCTATTTTTATTATAATATGTGCTGCAACGAAGAAGTTCGTATACAAATGTCCAACGAAAACATTTTTACAGCATCAAGAATTATAAAAGAAAAAATCAGAAATCAATCATTTTGAAGGGTTTGATAGTTTTAGTGTTAAAAGAACTATAATAAATTCTCCCTAATTGATGCTCAGATTGTGCACAAAAATGGACGATTTGGGAAGAGGAGATGCGATTATTCGATTACTATACTCACGGCTCATTTTTATAGTTGCCAATCGTCAATAATTATAAAAACGAGGCGAAAGGCACAAATAATCGTATCTCCTCCTCCAAAATTGTCCATTTTTGTTTGCAAGCTGAAGGAAAATTAGGGAGAATTTACTGTATTTTGCATCGCGTCGAAGTGAACAAGATTATTAACAAAGATCTTCGACAGACTGTTAATTTTGTGAATAACTGTGCTAGAAATCACAGATGCCAATCGATAAATTTCCAGCACAGGAGGTTAAATTAGTTTGATTTTCTGAAAATTCCATCGGTCGAATTTTGATATTCGTTAACCTTTGAAGCTATTCTTTTCAACGACGAACGAAGATTGAAGCAGGATTTTTTAGCAAAATCGCCAACAACGTTGTGCTGTTTATTTTTCTTAAATTCGTGGAACATCTTCACCGTTTCCTACGAGAGTGCAAACGAAGTTCGCGCGCGTTCCAACAATCCAAAGGAAAAATTTTGCCGGGAACAATCGGTTTAAACAAATTAATACAGTGGTAGCCAGCGTGTAATGTGCAGAGAATGGCGAACAATAGGAATTCGTGTAAGAACCGCGAAGTCAACAGCAAGAATGGACAGCGACGGGTCCGTCGGCCACCAAGACGTTTCATTTAAGCGGACTACAATAATTGCAGCCGACAATATCACGTTTAAAGCCGCACTGTCTGTCCTCTTGTCATTCAAGCAACCAATCACAACAATCCAGCGGGTGGTTGCTGACGGACAGCTGTCTATTGAGAGTCTCGAACGCTGGCATTCTGTCAGAAAACTGGCTCTTTATAAGAGATAGCGTTGCCCACAGAGGAGCCGGGCCGTCTCTATTCTATCGAGAAAACGCAGAAAGTCAGGAAACCGCGTGAAATAAAGGTAGCAGAGGCGGAATAGCAAAGAGGCTGCCGGTCCCTGGAGGGACGGATACCTTCGACGAGGCTGCCCCGCCCGAATTTTGCAGAAAGCACCGTTCCTATTTTTCACGTTTTCCACGTCGATCACGTTCTCGACGTGACTCCATCGTGCGCACCGCGGTTTTCTAGATTCTTTTGTCTCTGCTCGCGAGTCAATTGATTGCCAACCTTGAACCGGAGATGAACGGGTCTCTGGATCACCGTGGATCTTTTAAACGATCGATCGGCCAGCTGATCTTCTCGCGAATGACGTCCGACGCCGCTCGACTTTGCCACAAAAATTTCAAACGCGTTCAGTATTTCTTCGAAAATTCTCATCGCGCAGGTTGACCATTAAAAAATGAATTTGGAAGCTCCTGGGCGATTTTTTAGATTCCGCGACTCTTTACTCGGCAAATGAACTGAATTCCAAGCGCGCACAAGACAAAGATAATAGAACAATCAACGCTAGGTCACTAATTGTTTAATTTACGATCGTTCGGATCGTAAAGATAGAATGTGAAGAATATAATGTAGAGAAGTGTTACGATAGCACTAATAAACGTCTACTGATGCCACTGAAACGAGTCTTGTTGTTTCTTTTATAAACTAATATAAAACAGCTGCTCCTAGCGCTCCTTAAATCTAGCGTTAAAATAGCTTCGCATGCAAGTGATGGAATTATTTCTCAGCTCTGTGAAAATTCGTTGAACAACGAGACTTCCTCTTTGACATGCGATACTTCTGTGACACGTTACGAACGATCGCGACGATCGGTCTAAGGAATTAAGACACGGGCTCGCTCGACGAAGTATCTTCACCTGAATTTTCACGGTCAAAATCGATTTCCCGATCTCGTCACATGGTTTTTTTCTCCCTTTCCTTCGTGATCCAGATGTTCCCTTTTCGGCGTCGCTACCTCGGCTGTCATCGAGCCCGGGACGAGATCTAAATTCAACAACTATCGGATTGCAGGGAGAATCTGCGCGCGGACGGACGGGGTCGGAGGGCCGATCGATCTTCCGGGGCCGAATTTTTCCATAATTCCGCCCATTTTCGAAATGGCGGCCCCCGGGTTTTTGTATGCGGCACGGCACGGAATCGTACCAGGGACATGGGAAACCCCGCACAATGGAGTCATCGATCATTCTGTATGAGAGTTCCTCGATTGCTGCTCTAACTGTGCCGGTTCTTGCCCGCCTGGAGCACCGACGCGACCGTAATCGAGTGTATTTACGAATACGTCGGGGATCCCGTTGCAAATGCCCTTTGTATCTTTTCATTGTCTTCCCTACTGCTCGCGGGAAATCGATAGTCTCGCGGGAACCTCGTTGTTTCAATTTCGAGATGCCTCAAATATTCTTTTACCGGTGTTCGATGAACCTTCGACCGTTCTTTTGTCGTTCATTAAGGCTGGTACACTCTTGTAGCTTTCTTTTCATCAGAAACTTCATAATGGACAATTATGGACAAGCATAAGCACAAATATGGACAATTTGGGAAAAGGAGATACGATTATTCGAGCCTCGTGGCTCATTTTTATAGTTGTCGACAATCGATGAAAACGATAAAAATGAGAGACAAGGCTCAAATAATCGTATCTTATCTTCCCGAATTGTCTATTTTTGTGTACAATCTGAGCGTCAATTAGGGAGAATTTACTGTAGTTCTTTTAACACATTTTTCTTCTTACAATTCCCGATGCTATAAAAATGACGAACTTCTTTGTTGAAGCACATATTATAATAAAAACCACAGGAAGTATATAAATAAATCTGATCCAATCTAGAAACAACACAAAACGAAAAAAAGAACAAAAAATATTATTTTCATTTAATGTAACCTTAATTTAATAAATTTCTTCCTTTCCACTACTCAGTACAATGGAACGAGAATGTTTTTTTTCGGTTGAACGATATCATCTTCACTTTCTGAACCTTCTTCTTCATTCAGATTTCTTGCACCTTCTACCATCTTTAAAAAGTCTGCAATTTTGATTTGTTTCCTGGTTCTTACAAGATCATTATAGATTTCACGGTATAAAGATAGACAATTTTGCAGTTCGCTTCTGAATTTTCGGCTTCCTTCAGCGGAAGGATACATATTTATATACCCTCAATTATAATAATTATATCTTCATGTAAAGGCATTATAGTTTACTATTCCTTCCCGTCATTATTTTAAGGTAATTTAGTGTTTAAATATGTCGAACAAGAATCATGCTATCCAGTGCTGCAGAAGTACAGTGTCGTACAAAGGTTTTCGCAATTTTCTTATTGTGTCAGAGCGAAATCGTGTTACAGGATGCCGTGCTGTAAGAGGACTACCTGTATTCCCATACTCTTGGACAAAAATGGTGCGTTCAAAGACTAATTTTGCTTGATTGGACCGGTAGGACGGCCAACGGAGAGCCGCGTCTAAAGGTCCGCTTCCCCGCCGCCATAAATCCGGCAGGTACCTGTCCGTTTTCAATGGAGCGGTACTGAAACGACACTCATCGTTTCATTCGCCGTGTTCCAAGCACGATTTAATTGTCCACCGGTAGAAATAACCGCGGCCAAAGCGCTTCGAGGCGCAAACCACATAAATCGGCGATCTTCCGCGAAACAGGTGAAACGCGATAGCCACAATTCCAAATGGCGAACAACATAAAAAAAGCATCGAGGCTTTCGAACAATTAAAGCGAGCACGCAGTCGCGTTTGCTGGAAAGTTATGGCTGCGATCATTCGCGTCTAATAGCTCCTGCCGGCGATTAACTCGAATCGCGCGGAGCCGGACGGCCTCGGCTGCGTACGAACGTTTAAATACACATTTCTTGCGGGAATACTCGCTCGTTTATTATTTTCCGGGCGATCAAGAAAAAATATATATATATATATATATATTTGTATGTAAAATATATATATATCGGTGTGCACATGTGTGCGTGGATCGGAGTAAACGGCGACAGGAAATTGGCTTTCCTTTTTGCCGGAGCAGAGCGTCCACGCGTAAAAAGCCGCTTCTAATAAAACGGTGTGTCGCGAAGGTGAGAAAAGCTGTGCTGGAATCAGCAAAGCCGACGGACCCGGTTCGATCGTGGAATGACGCTGCAATGCTCGATATGCCGTTTCATTCAACCTGACTCACGGCCCCGTGGGCTCCGCGTTGCTCGCCACACGTTGATCCTATCATCGTAAATATTGAATAAATGTAATTAGCCATCGGGGAGGCAGGAAAGGCCGCCGCGC